TATAATGTATGCCACTTCCTGCTCTTTCCTTTCGTTTTTTTAATTTCCTGTTCTTCCTATATTTCTTTGCTCCTCTGTTTGCCAAGTTAGACTTTTCTGTATTCCCAGATGCTTTCCCTTGTATAATATATGAAAAAAACAGAAAATCAAAAGGAAAAAAAAAACATTTGGCTTATTTTTCACTGTAGTTAGTCTTTTATACAATAATACTGTAAGAATATTTCTTGAATTCTAAATATTACTCTTTCTAGATTTTTGAAAGCAAAAGTTTTGAGTAAAAAGTTTCTTACTTTATTTTACTATATTAGATAGTAAAATGTGCGGTTATTTCCGATAACCTGTTCATTATTACAGGAAATTTACAAATGGCATCTCAAGAACATAGTTGAATTGTTGCTCGTAGTCAAGTGCTTAAAAAGGCTTTATACGAGCTCCAGATTCCTAAAAGTGCAAACTCCATCTTATTCTCCAGTCTCCGTTGTTGATTGATAAACGATTTGTTCTTGTGTCAAATGAAAAGGTATTGTCGATGCACATCAAAAAACTGCGGCAACGAGAATTTGAATTTTCTGTCTTTTTAAACAGAAAAACACAATGTATATAACATTTATGTTGCAATAAATGTGCCATCTTTTTTTAAACTCAATTGTATGTGCATTTATTTCTCTCGCTGAGCAAACACATTTGTTTCTGTTTCCTCTCCATATTTACATTTTCCCCTTTCCATAAAGTATTATTTAATGAAATGGTGCAGGGAGGATGAAGTAAGATGCGCTCAGAAACATGGGGACTGATTTAGACTTCTTTATTGTTTGTTTTTTAAGACATTTCTACAGTGGATTTAGGCCAAATGAGTGTTTTATAGTATGTAACTCATTTTTGAAAATAATACCAGTGGACCATTGTAGTCTGTATGAAAAGTGCTATGAATATATGTTTCTATTTTTAATAAAGTGTGATAGCAGCGTACTGTCCATGTGATGTGCTCCTACTTTGTTTTGCCATTTCGATTTTACGCAGGATGAAGAAAGAAAGATGAGCTGGAACTAGAGTGCAGGAATGAAACTGATACAAGTCATTCTGACAAGTACATAGCCGAACTGTATTTTCTAATAAACGTTTTTGGTGGAAGCAGCTTTTCTGTAGACTGCAGTTCTCAATCTGCTACTTGTGCTGTGACTGAAGTTAATGAATCCCAAAAGTGTTGTGAAAATGCTGCTCTATACCTGGAGGACTGCTGTGCTGTAAATCTCCGACCCCGTACATCTGCACCGAATTACCCTCATGCAGATGTGAGCATGATGAGTACTCATCGCATCCTGAGAGGTCTGATCCCAGTTCAATATTCTGACAGAGGTGACACTCGGTGGAAAACTGCTGACTGCTGTTCTGCCTGTGGTGAGCTCAGTGATGCAATGTAAATCATGACTGTCATCTTTCAATATTCTCTGCAGGGAAACACAGAACGTGTGAGTGTGTTGGGCTGTTGGTGGTGGGTGTGCATGTTTTCTGTTGCAGTGGGACCACCATGTTTGAAGGCTGACTTCCTGTCATGGCTGCTGGGCCAGCTGACAGAAAGTCCTTGGCTCACATCCTTGAAGCCCGACCAAAGAGCCTGCTGCTCCTCCTGCTCCGAACAGTAAGATCATCCGCCTCTCTGCTTCTTCCAGAATGCATGCTGCACTAAATTGAGCTTTTCTTTCAAGTGCCTTCCTATTTTCCCTGCAATTTATACCAATTTACAAAGTTCTTTCCAGGAAACTTCCTGAAAATTAATACAGAATTATTAGAGCTTTGCAGGCCCATACATTTTTGTATTTTTGCTTTTGTTATTTCTTTTCGTCAGCTGCACAGCATGCATGAGACCACAGTAAATTGTCATCAAAATACAGTCAAATTAAAGTGATTTAAATCAGAAGTAGATCAGCTCTGCTTTGGAAATATAGAACCTGCAGCTGCAACCTTAAGTTTCCTGTAATATTTTGTTTACTATATTATATCTGTGCAGAGGAGTGTCGTATGGATTTGTTGTTGCAAGAATCTTTGGCGAAGAGTCACACAGTCTCTCTTCATCTTCAGTGTGAGCTAAATACTGAAGTTCAGGTGCAGTTTTCAAACCAACAACAGCATCTGGTTCACCTGCAACATGTCACTGAAAGAGTCCGGGTGTCTTGTTTCTGTGTAGGAGAGGTGGAGGGGTATTTTACATGTCTGTGCCCAGGGGCCCATTTTCTCATAATCTGTCCATGATACGATCACAGTATCTTCTGGACAAGAATAATAACGGCACATTGGTAATTTAGGAGTTAAGGATGCAAATGGCCTCTGGGTAAGTGCTGTTTCTGAATGGATGCTCTCAGTACCAGCACTCTAAAATTCAATCATACCTTCCTGTGAGATGGAAAACATTATCATCTGTCTTGAAAAAGATCTTTCTTCAGTACTGTTGTAGTTTTGACTTCCCACTTTAAGAAGAGGAGATTGTTACACCCAATAATCTGTAGTTTTCCACCTGTCAGATGTCCTGACCATTTATGACCCCTGTGGCTCTACAGAGGTCCACGACTACTTTCTTTGTTTTGGAAACATTAATCTCTGAGCTGTTGGCTGCAAACCAGTCCACCAGGGATGAAACCTAATTTCTGTAAACTGCTAGAATTCAGACCTGCTAATGTAATATCTTCTAAAATCTAAACAACTACATAGACTGAAAGTGGAAAGTATAGTTATTTCAGTGGTCGCTTTTGGCTGCCACATCAGAAATGCTGAAACTGAATGAGCTAAATGCGTGCATCTATAATATCTCCGGTCCAGGTCAGTTTGGCATAGTTGTCACTGGAAAGTCTGTGGTCCTTCTTGTGATCAGGATAAGACTGAGCTGTGTACTGAGCATGTCCAGAGGTCCCAGCTGTGGCACCTCAGTGGAGAACAGAGCTCTCATTGTGTGGTGCTGTAACCCAACACAGTGGCACAGAGCTCAGATTAAAGGCTGTGGTGATGCTCGGCCTCTCTGTGGACACAAATATAAACAGTGGGCCACTACAAAGACGCTGGGACAGCTGGGTCTCCAGTTTAATGTAGTTTATGTTGCAGTGGAAAGGTTTATAAAAACAACTTTGAGTTTATCATTTATTCAGAATCTCAGTGTACGTCAGTGAGCTTTACAGTTAGCTTTGTCTGTCATTATCAATGCTGGGAAGTAACATTTACCACAGAGTATTGCTCTTTTGAGGTATATGTACTTTAAGTATTTTCATTTTATGCTACTTTATACGTCAACAGAGTGTAAAGTAGTTGACATTATTCCTTCACAACCAGCTACAACATTCAAATGTTGATGCATGAGTAATAATGATCCTAATGTATATTATGTACAGGATCAGTTTTATTGCTAAGTAGGTTTTCACATACAAGGAATTTACCTTGTTGTATGCAAAACAATAAACATAGAATAATATAAATAAAGATACAATAGAGACAATAAAGAAACAAGATATACAAATATAAACAGAGACAATATCTACAATATGATCATTATTTAAATAAAATTAACAAAGATCTGTACAATTTACAGGTAATTTCATTCATTCATTGTGATATTTCTACTGTTTTACTTTTTTCATCACTCATCATTTTATATGAACATGGATACCAAACTGTATAAGATAAGGTTAAAGGTTCTTGCATTGGTGAATTGTATCCAGTGTAAAGTAACACACAGATGACCAGAAAAATACATTTATTTATTTATTTTGCTATAGTGCAGATATAATATCAACGGTTAGTTACAATATTAATATACAATATCACACAAACTCAGTCTCAGTGCACTGAAATCCTGCTCTCGTTACTACCTCCTTTAAGCCCTACTACCTAGATATTATTTATCACTGCTCAGTGTTGTTTGCTTAGTCCTGCACTTCTTCTCTGTACAGACAGACTCCATATTTCTAAAATAATACTCACTCTCCAGTATACACCAAACATTTTTCAACATGTCTTCATCCCACTCAGCATAACACCCGCCTCATGCCATGTTTTTACGTTGCAATGCTGCACTCCCAACCCTCCCTGTGCACCAGGGCAGATGCTCACAGGGCATTATCTGTCGGTGATGAGTTTACTAAACTGTTACATGTTAGATGCACGCAGCAGTACCACCAGCACAGGTCCTCATTAATTAATCCCATTCAGGTCAGCTTACTATCCACTAGATGACGCTCTCGCTTTTTAAAGACACGCAGCTGCAAATTGCGTTTATGCAGAGTGCAAGTAATTATATTTACAGACAGCTTGAGGCGAGCATGTACGTGTTAGGGCATTAAATAATTAATGAAACTATCAGTTTGAACAATACATCAATATCAAGTAATGAACTTAAAGTAGGGAACTTATTATTTTAATCTCCCAATATTGATGAAATATTCCACTAGGGTGTGTTTGGTTTATTTGTATTTTTCCAACAGATATATTAGGATTGCTTTCTACTGGGTCCACCCATGTACTGGGTTTTTTTCACATAGTAAAATTATGACTCATACCTCAAAACTTATGAACTCATTTTGTATTTATGATAAGGTTTTTTTTATGTTGGCTCAGTTTCTTCCAAACACAAGCAAACAGACGTGCATTACTGTCTTTGCTGGTTTAAAATGTATTAAACTTAGTTTATTAAATTTAAAATATATAAATAAATAAATAAATAAGTTATAAATGTTTTATATTGAGCTGATTTTAAAGACTCAGGTTGAGAGCTGTAAAGTCCCACCTACAAGTTGCTCCCTATTGCTTTTCAGAGCCTCTCCAGACCCTGCTGAGCTGAACCGAGCCGAGATTGGCCGGTCCGAACCGAGCCTGGCCTGGGATAAGTCCTACGCAGACTTCAGGGAGGATTCATGATGTGAAATCTGTTCCTGGACCAGCGGACTGGGGTTTTTCTTTTTGGGGGTGGGCGGGTTTGTGCGCTTGTTTCAGGAGGCGGAGCGGCCCGGAGGGTCGGACGTCCTTCTCAAACTGTCCTACTCTCTCTGTTAGAAAACAGCACAGGACTCAATAAGTTCTCAGGCGGTGGTGTGGGCACTGTTGCTCAGCCTTTTTTATCTTTAAACAAACGTTTGTAACCTGCGATAAGTGAACCAGAGAGAGAGAGAGAGAGACGACGCTGGTGAGTAAACTAACAGTGTTCATTCAGTCTGCTGTGAGAGCCGTTAACAGCCGTTAAAACTCAAACAAACTGCCAAACAAAACTGAACATTTAACACCAAAAAAAGGACAATAAGTTGCTATAAAGTGAGTGACTCCGGGGATATGTGAAGCTTTATGAAGTATTACAGTAAATCTCAGGCTGGTGGTGTGTTTACGGCCACCTGTTGCAACTGAGCAGCGATGTATAAAATGTCCACAAACTGCGTCAACTATTTCTTCTCTTGTGTTAACGTAGTTTGTTTAAGTTAACCAGCTACTTTAAGATTAAACTGTCTGTAGTCTATAATTCACACACTCGGTGCTGTTATTTAATTGTGTTTACAGTTGCTGCTGTACACTCACGGTTCATTTACCTGACGCTCCAGATTAGTGAACTCCCATTCATGTTACGTAACTTTATAATATTTTCCCACAGTGTAAATCCTCGCTGTCTTGAGTGATTTAGTTCAGTCTTTACATCCACTTTGTCCTCAGCTGCTTTTACTGATTAGTTTTCTTCATGTAGTCATGTGAGTCACTGCAGCTACATTGTGTGGGGGACCTTTCTGTGACACAGACAACCCATCAGTTCACATGAGGAGAGAAAAATCTGCTTTGTTAATATCTGAACCTCTTGCACAGATCAAAGCCAGGGCCTTGACATCCAACCTGTGCCCTGTGCCGACCTCTCTGCTCTGCAGCACAGGGGTCATTGAAGGCAGCACTGCCACTAAGGAGGGCAGTGGGGCTGCTCAGTGAGGGTTTCCTCCTTTTTTTTTGCAGTGAAAAATACAGTGGGAGGGAAAAAAGTTGCACACTCGTTGAAAGCCTTTGTGCTTTGATACATGTGACACTAAGGATGAAAGAGTCTATTGTGTCGCCTTTAGCTTTAATCTGTCTTCCACGGCACTCTTCCTGCTGGAAGGGACACTTTATCTCCTCTTCCTCCTGTGCAGGCTGAATAGTGTGAATCTGACTAATTCTGACTAATTGAAGCACCAGGATCCACCAGTCACCACATTCATTGACTTGTCAAAACCAAGGCAAGGGGAATTATTCTTATATGGGGCTAGGAGTGGCCGACATGTGTGAAATAAATGGTTTCATGCAGTGTTTCATGGCAGAGGCAGGCCACCATACCTGAAATACAGACAGCCTCGGCTAACATCATATAAAACTGAATGAATACACTTTCAGGAAATAAAATGTTACACTTATATCATTATATTTAACAAGATGAGTACCTTACCACCTTGACTAACCAATTTTTTTAGGGGAAATCCTGAAATCTTCTATCAGGGTACATGTAATTTTGTATTGTGATATTGATCTCTAATATAGTGTCTATTTAGAAGCTGTAACAGATACAATACGGGACAGACAGGAATGTCTGTATTTAAATAAATACCTGGTAACACTATGCTGCTCATTAATTTGAGACAAACAGTAACAAATCTGCTCAAGCTATATATTATCATATCTCCCATCCCTACATGGTTCTGTGCTCAGTTGTCCATCGGTCTGTCTTTACCTATTTCATGCCAATGTGCTGTATCCTGCTTTTGCCTTTGTTGTCAGTCTTATCAGTGTCCTTCTTCCAGGCCCATCTTGGTCCGGTCTTTGTATTGTAACATCAGGTAGAATGGGATGCTATCAGTAAGGCAAACAGGAACCTGTTGAAAGCCCTTTGTTCAGTGAAACACATGGTGGTTGCTGATGGCTTTGTCTTCACCGACCTCCCAGGCATAAATGTGTCTAAAGAACATTGAGCGGCTTACTTTAATATTTGTACACAGTTTGATATTTATTGCCAGCTGTGTGTTCTCACAATCGTGCTGCAAATCTGTCAACCTTGACAACCCTGCAATTATTATAAATGTGACAAAATCGAGCCTAATAAGATTTTGTTGCTTTCTTTTCATGGCATTTCCCATGAGCGTGGGCTGAAATTACAATGTCATTTACAAGGATCAACAACACAGTGTATGCACACACACACACACACACACACACACACACACACACACTCCAAAGTTGTGTAGAGATGGCTGATCTGTCACATTTTTCTCAGGTCTGACTCATGTTGGAGTTTTATCTTTCAGTCCCTTTTTCTTAACCTGTTTAACCTATATTCTTTGTCATGCCGGGTAAACAGTCATTTTGTGATACCATGTCTGTTAGTCACTCGCCTGTGAGGCCTTTCTCACCTGTACCTGGTCATTTCTGTAGTTAGAAAGAATGTGGCTAAAGTTGACTCAGAGTTGTTATGGGTTCAGAGATGTATTAGGCAACATAGTGATCGTGTTCTCTCATCCTTCATTCGGCCAGAGCACATTAGTTGACATAAAGTATCTCTGTGGAAAAAAAACTGAACATTAAGAATGGTAAGACGAGTAAAAGAAATGAAAGCCGACAACGTAATTAAATGCAGCACGGCTTTAATGTTTCATTAGTAGCTGAGTGTGGATCTGGGAAACATTTGTTGATATTACTGAATAATGTAGTGTCTCATCTCTGACTAATACAGCCTGTCTGAACCATTGGTTGCAGAGGTGGTCCACCTGATCCAGGGAGAGGGATTTGTTTTCCTTCCTGCATTCCTGATGGAGTCGTACAGAGTGACTGGCATTCCTAACAGCGGACCACAGCGGGGCCACACTCAGCCGTCCCGCCCCTCCAGGCCCCATAGTAATGGAGCTGGTACATACGGTCTCAGCATCCGTGTCCAGGGTATAGATGGACATCCCTATGTAGTTCTCAACAACCAGGATAGGGGTTCTCAGTCCTTTGTCGACCCTAACAGTAATGGGTATATCGACACGGACAGCTCTTTTATTGAGAACTACGACGAGTATGATTTCCGGGGAGGAAAGGAGGCTGGATCCAACAGCCCCTTTATGGAGTACAGGTCTCAGAAGATGATGCATTACTCTGGTCCTCAAAATGGTGTTGCAGATTCCCAAGGAAAGAAACCATCCACCCTTCTGAACTTTCAGAAGCATCCGGAGATACTGCAGCCATATGATCCAGACACCAACTCCCTGAACCTTGATGCTTTCCACAGCCTGCCTTCAAGGCCTCTGTCTCTGCCTGAGACTGGGAACCAACAGCAAATCTCCAAATCTGCTGTATCTGCACCATCCAATGCCAAGTCATCAAGTGTGGACCAGAATAAACCCCCAACCCAGCTAGAGAAAAGGCAGCTTCCATCTCAGAGCATGAGTGAGACGGCCCTTTCAAAGCCGAAGTCACAGCGTCAGTCTTTGCCTCCGTCCCAGGTCGCTCAGCCTCAAACCAGGACACTAACAGCCGTGGCTCAGCCGCAGTCCAAACCTCGTTTTGCCAACCTGAATCCACCTCAGTCCAAGCCAGGCTCTAAAGTTCAGCAGCAACCAGTCCCTCCAGCCCAGCCTCAGCCGTCCACTGTGTCGAGTCCCACGAGTGAGCAGAGCAAGACCTCGTGCAGATCCCCCAGTTCTATGAGCAGCGCCAACTCCAGCCTGGAGCGCACCCGCCGTGAGCCTGATGTCCTTCCTCTACGCAGGACTGACTCCAGCGGGCCAGTTCTTCAGTCCTCTTCCCGCTCGCGCCACTCCTCCTCATCTTCGACCTCTAAGGCTACGGTAGATGAGCAGATGGACGCCCTGTATGCAGACACCATCAACCGCCATGAGAACCGCCGCTACATCCCCTTCACTCCCGGTTCAGGCAGAGACATTGACACAGGCTCCATTCCTGGAGTCGATGAGCTCATTGAGAAGTTTGATGGCAAAGATGGCAGCCACCAGCGCAGGGGCAGGGCGGGCCGTAGGAACAGGATCAACCCAGAGGACAGGAAGCGCTCACGCAGCGTGGATAGCGCCCTCGGCCTTCGAGATGGCTCTGGCAACACGAACGAGTTTAGCCGCCAGCGGGGCACATCAATGGAGCATGTACTGCGTCCCTCGCAGCTGCGGCTGCAGAAGACAGCAGGCAGTCAGGACTCCTGGCTCACGGCTGTAGATGGTAAGGTCAACTCCAGGGCTTCATCTTCTCATGCCACCAGTGCACCCGGCTCCCCCCAGAACACCATCTCTAAAGGTGTAAGCTCCATACAGGGTTACAAAAAGCCACAGACTCACACATCCTCAGTACCATTCACCAGTAAAGAGAGTAAGGATGATGCCTCTTCATCTGGAAAGGTTCCGACAACATTGCTGTCAACATCGCTGTCCAAGCCCTCTTCCACCGCAGACAAAAAGCCCAGTACAAACGCAGATGTTCAGGTAAAAGGCCAGAGAGCTATGCTGTAGCATTATGGTTTGATTTTACGTTTAGAATCTGAAATGTCTTTGTTTTATCTTGTGTCTTATGTTGTTTACTTAATGTTAGTATATTTTCCAACAGATGATTGTCTGTTCAATCTAATCAAAATGAGGATCTGTGAGATCTTTGCTTTGTTAAGAACTCTCTTATTTCATTTAGATCTCGCTCTCATTTCCTGTCATTTGCAGGCGACACCTGATCTTCTAAAAGGTCAACAGGAGCTTTCACAACAAACACACGAAGAGACAGCAAAACAAATTTTGTTCAATTACCTTAAGGACGGGTGAGTAATCTTGACTTTCATTATCTTTTCTATCGTTCTTGGTGTACTTTTTAAAGTTTTATTTTTATATGATCATATTGATAAAATAAATATTGTGAAATTGTTTTAGTCTTAATCACTGGCTGTTAGCTGAATCATGAACGGAGCATATTGTTCTCTCTGAAACTAAAAAATCCAACATGTTGCACCATAAGGCAATGCATCATAAAGGGAGAGACTGTTCTGTGGGAGCACATAAATGGTTTTTATCAGAGTTGGACTGTTTGTGATAAAAGTGAAGGAATGTGCTCTTCTTACCCTCCCATCCAGGCTGTGAGTGATCCAGCTGTCTGGAGTTTGTTTTCTTGCAGAATCCCACTTTCTCCGCTTTCTCTTTGCTGCAGTGTGAAATGAGGGGAAGACGTTCTGTTTGCTTCTGTAATCAGACACTTATTGCTCGTCAAAGAAAGGCATGTTGGGTTAGAAGGTTAACTGAAGTTAAGGTTTTAAAGGTGCCAAATGTGATGGTTTGTGGATTCTTTTAATTAAAGTAGCAAGTCGATGTCAAGAACTGTTTTAGGAGAATGTTAAAGTCAATCACAATTGCCAGTTAAACTGCACTCTACAGCAGTTGCACTAGTTGTATGTGATTATACAGTTTTCAGGTTTCTACAGTTCTTGAGTGTCTTACAGGCTTGTGGTAATGTAGAAAAAGAACAGGAAACTGCTTGGGTGTGTCGGGCCACAGGTCAGGAGTCACAGGACAAAGGAAAGGAAACACAGATGGAAGTGCTGGGGCTGAAACTGAGCTACATTCCCAAGACCCAGAAGACAAACATTCACCAACAGGGGTTATAAAGGTTTAATGAAAATCATCTGTATGAGAAGAAGAGAGATTTGGGGGAGGTTTGGCTTTCTGTGTCAGCCTTGAAATTTATTGATATAATATATCACTTTTGTCATGTGAAAGTGTTGTAACTCCAGTTTTGTGGATTCTGGTGTTTTCACTTTAACTGAAGGATTATATGTTGTTCTCTGGGTTGAGAAAATCCTCCCATCTTTGGGCTTTCAAACATCTGGCAATAAACTTAGAAATGCTCAGTGTTTAATGCTAAAGACAAAGCTGCTTTTCTTAGCTCCAGAGAAGATGATGTTCCTAAACATCAATTTCAATGTAAGGTATTTACTGTCCAGAGCAGTACTGTTATTGGTTGATATGTGTGAATGTGGCTGGTTTTGTGACCGAATGCTGTGAATCCAGGCTTCTTCTGTTTTTCAATAATTGATGAACAAAACTACTATTTGATGGTAAATGTTTACTACATAATATAATCTGTATTATATTTTCAGAATACCAAGCAACAAGCAATCCATAATATTTTTAAAAAGAAACTCACAATCTCTCTCATTTGCATGATATTTATATTTCAAAGCATCAGAAAGATATTTCTTAATCCCTGCATGGTTGCTACAACATTTTTAGCTGTAGTTCCTACTAATTTACCAGGTGCCATAGTTTGTTAGACGGGTGCAATGAAGCTGTTTGTGCTGGGAGGTGACAAATCAAAGCAGCATGATCCCTCCTGACCCTTTATAAGCTGGGAATGAATTACTCTGTTCTCAGAACAGTCTGGAATTAATTCCTGATCCCCCAAAACACTGAAAGAAGTTTTCTTTTACTTTTCCCTTTAATAACATGTGTTAACATACCTGTGTGTCTGCAGAAGCAACGACAATGATGAAGCGACGAAGAGAAAGGTCAACCTGGTCTTTGAAAAGATACAGACGTTGAAGTCTCGGGCCACGGCAAGTTCACAAGGCGACAACAAAGTAAGACATTGTGATATCGCTATTTTTTGTGCACCGCTAATTAACAGCCTATGAAAAAAAGGTTTTCTCAAGCAATGTGTGTTTGAGTTTCAGATTCCCAAAGTGAAGCCCAACTGGGTCAATGTATTGATTTAATAGATCGGTTGATAGAAACATATTTGTCCTACTTTGAATTTTTAAAGTAAACTTATTCTGCCATAACATCCTGTTTGATTCCAACCACTAAAGGAATGAGATCTCAGATTAATTTTATGAGACCTTTAAAGTGTGCGTATTATTTCAGGCTCTTGCACTCAGGCTGTTTATTTGCACTGCCAGCTATTAAATATTTTTCCTATTTTCATTCTGAATTGAATAATAAGAAATAACCAACTGTAAAAACATCTCTCTTCCTCTCAGTCCCTGGACTTTGCTACACAGACCAAAGCTCTGCAGGAGCAAAATGCTGAACTGGAGAAAGAAATGGTCGAACTGAAGGAACAGCTTGAGGTAACAACAGTCTAACTGAAACTCTGCCTCCAAACACCAGCCTGTTTATGTTGCCATGTCAGTTTATTGCTGAACTTTTTGTTGTTTGAGAATATGCTTTAATTAAGGGTTTGGTTGGAAAGTAGATTTAAGGGATTACTGTTTTACTTATATATATATATATATATATATATATATATATATATATATATATATATATATATATATATGATATATATATATGATATATATATATATATATATATATATATATATATATATATATATATATATATATATATATATATATATATATATATATATATATATATATATATATATATATATATATATATATATATATATATATATATATATATATAAGATATATTTTGGGACCACTGCTGGATGTAGAATTGGCTAAGCTTATACAAAGGCATATTTTCATAGACACAATAATAGAACAAAGAGGCTAGTCTGTTCAAAACCTTTAATTCTGTGTTGTGTGTGTGTGTGTGTGTGTGTGTGTGTGTGTGTGTGTGTGTGTGTGTGTGTGTATTGCAATAAAGTACGTAGGAATTCAAAAGTCAGTTGTTTACTTTGTATTAAAAGTTAAATAATTGAAACTGCAACTGTTGGGAATGGATTTATTATGGGGGGAACTGTTATTCAGTTCATTTTTACAATATGTAAATGTTACATGCTGCTTTTCCATATAGTTGGGATCCTCCTCTGCAATATTTAAAACAGATCCTGCTAACAAATTCTAAAAGCCTGGTGCAAGAGATGTAAGAGACTAAATGAGTGTATGTACATTGAAATGTCAACATTAATATTTGTGTCTCACCTGCAGAAGAACCAGGCTGACAAGAGGACAGCAGCAGATTTGAAGGAGCGGAGTGCAGAGGAGTGCAAGCGTCTGAAGGAAAAACTAGCCAAAACAGAGGCCGAACTCCAGACCACAGTTGAAGAGTAAGTGCAAAGTGACAGTGCTGGAGAACGACCAGTGATCAGTGTAGATTAATCAAATAGCTTAGCTTTATTTAGCATTTCCAGAATGTTTTATTGTATTTGCTTTGAGGCAACGCAGCCAAGTTCAGCTCCCTTTACTGGTATTTTTACTTTGTCTTTGTTGTATGCTCCAGTGAACACAACTGGCAATGATTGTGGTGGGAGGCTGGTGAGGGATCAGGTTCTTGTTGCTACACTAACTGATCCGTACTGATTTGTTGGCAGGTAAAATGAAAAAGCGGTGTTTCAGCAAAACCATATAAATGTTAACACCTCCTCAGGTCATATAATCATAAATAATAGTTATAATTAGCTAGAGGTGTTATTCATCAGCTGTTGCAGTACTTGACATTTCATGCTGAAACCAGTGTAGGATGTCTGTTGATGAAACCACTCAGACTGTTGATGGTTACTGAAGTGGTCACCATGTCAGTCTTATTATACAACCCATTGTGTCTCATCTTGTTTGTTAGGTTTATCTTTCACCCTCCATATTAATGTGAGCCTGGTGACTGATTTACTTTTCATTCTGACAGCGCCAACTGTCCGACTTCATTTCCGCCCTCTTATACGTTATACAACTATTATTGTTGGACTGATCTCAGTCGGTGTCCAGAGTGTTGCCTCCATGCAAAGCGTGCTGGTTTTGTTTGGGGTTCTTCAGTTTTCATATGAAACATGAAACAGATGAAATTTTTATTTTTTAAATATTTGCTCTTTTTGTGGCATGTTGCACTTCTGTATTGGGCCTTTCATTTTTAGGATATAAAGGCAAAATCCCATATTGATAGTAAAGAGGTAGACAGGAAACAAGAGGGCTAGTAAGTTCCCCTGGCTGGAATCAAACCAGGTACGTTGCAGAAACATGGTCAGCTACTAGTCGCTCCCCTCTGAGTGTATTCTTACAGCAGGAATAGATGTTCTGCTTCAGTCTACGTGACTGTATGGTGATTTGTTTGAGGTGCCTCACATCACTCATCACCCTCCCCCCCAGTGTTGTCGTGTAGAGGCAGTTTAGACATTATTGGTTTGCCATCATCCAGGTATTCATTTTAACCTCAGTGCTCTGTAGGCCTCACTTTCAGACCCAGCACAGGTGCTGCCATTTGTATGTGTGAATTAAACTGCAGGTGTGCGGGTGTGTACGTGCATGTCTACAGCATGTAGAGTGCTTGTACTGTGTTGTGACATGTTGTCTCATTTGTCAGGCTGTTCCAGGTGAAGATGGAGAGGGAGCAGTACCAGACAGAGATCAGAGACCTGCAGGACCAGCTGTCAGAGATGCATGACGAGCTTGACACGGCCAAGAAGTCACCCTCTGATGGAGAGAAAGACATCATTATGGCGGTAATGCACAGTGTTCATTGTTCTTACTGCTCGGCAAAATAACCATCTAAGATTTTCATATTTTTTTTATATTCTGCTATCTTGAGTACTACTTGTACATAAAACCATTTGTTAAAAATGTATGATTTCATGCTGTATTTAAGAGTTTAAACCCAATTGCAACCAGTGGGTCTGGAAGGTGCTCGATGATTTGTTATATCGCCATTGTTAGTCACACTGAAATAAGACAGAATGCATTTTAGTTTGCTGAAAACCTTTCCAATAAACCTTAACTCCATATGGTGAAGGCTTTATCTGAAAGATTTATCTCTGGAGACAATAGAAAATAAATTCAATCAACAACCAAGCCAGGGAATAATTTTCAGTTTATTTCTTTAAATGGTTTATTAAATGTGGTTGCAGTGAGAAAAGTCTGTGTAACCAAAGACAAGAGCAAACTTAATGGTCACGGTCAAACTTTAGGGTCAACCACAGTCCGATTCTGCAAATTCTGAAATGATAAAGAATTACTAAACTGTCTTCATTTTCTACAGGAGATGATGCAACTGAAGCTGGAGATGCAGGAAGTTCTCCTGGCCAAGGAGGAGCAGGAGGAGTTGCTGAGGAGGCGAGAGAGGGAGCTGACAGCTCTGAAAGGAGCCCTGAAGGAGGAAGTGGCTGCTCATGATCAGGAAGTGGACAAGATGAAGGAGCAGTATGAGAAGGACATAAGCCGGCTACAGATGTCTTTGGAGGAGGCCAAGCAGGTAATCAGCCTCCTGGTTGTTTCCCTCCTCGTCTCTTCCAGTTTGACAGTGTTCCCTCCTCCTCATTTCCTTCCCTCTCACCCTCCCCCTTTCCAGAAACACACCCTGTCACAGAGGAGTGTGGAGATAAGCACCGCATCAGGGGAGCTGCAACTGTGTCTGTGTGTGTTTTGCATTGCAAGTTGTGCCATATGTTGGTCATCAGAGGTCGGGGGCCGCTGCTTTGAAGTGACGTTATTTACACCTTTACACCATTTCACATCTGTGGTGCTGAGTATCAACATACTGAGGCACTGCTTTTATACTGCAGGAGATACTATATCCAGAATAAGCTTGTCACTTGAAATCAGCATCACAAAAGCAGTGGAAAAAGGAGGCAAACAGGCCTTGTTTCATTGGCCGACTCCATTGTATTTGAAAAAAAAACTTTAATTCAAGATGTCAACATATGAATTAGTGTACCAGGTGAAGATCAGAGGGCAAAGGAAAGTCCTGAGTATAACAAGAATTTTAAATTATTTTCATCAACAGCAAAAGATCTACACAGCATACTACTCTTCAGTCTTCTTTAGTGAATAATATATACTCAAAACATTTGATGCCTCACCACTGTAGCCTTATGTATATGTACAAAGACAAGTTAGCAGTTGACTTTTCAATATTCCATTCAATGTTCCTCCCACATTTCTGTTAACCCTTAAAATTCCAGTTATACTTGTACATACATAGATTTTTTAAAGTAATAATGTGGTGATTTGTGCATATCTGCTGTCATAAATCTGTGAGGATTCGGTTTTGTTGGCTTGCAGAGGACAAAGACCTTAAACATCCCAGTTTTTAGTATCGATGTAATTGCACTAAATAAACAAAGTAATTTTAACACGCAGATCAGCATAAGATAGGATATTCACATATTGCAGTGAAAAGTTGTACGTTTTTGACACAAGTGGACAGTAAGCTCAAGTTGAGTGTCAAGAGTTCACACACTTGAGCTGTGTCAACAGAGCAAGCTGATAAAATGAAAACAAAACACTATGTAACAGTTAAATGTAGCTCGTCATCATTTTTCATGGGAAGTGTTTCTTTCTTGCCAGTCAAGTGTGGAGGTGTTCTCTTATCTCAGCCTATTCCTCTAGGGAGGAACATTTTACAGGAGGAATGATGTTTGATGATAACATTTGGAGTTATTTGGAGGCATTTATCTGTATATGAAACTGTTAGGAGTTGCCTTACTGGCAAGGTTGCTATTGTAGCTTAAGTAGCGAGTCTTGATTAAAGGCACCAATATACTCAGGACACAGTTCTGTTTTTACTGCACTGACAAGAAATACAATTCTGAAAAGCTGCAAGCTCAGAATTTATAAATCAATCAACCAGCCATTTTTCACAAATTAATGATTAGAAGTACGGCAGGGACAGTTTGTCAACAAAACAATTCATAAATGGAGGACATTGCATTAAGATGAAACATGCATGGCATGACGCAGGATACTTAAAGGACTGAAGACGCATTGTTTTCAGCAGGTCGCCTTGTGACTCACATGTGTCCTGTTTGTCTCCAAGAGACTGGAAGTTGTGCTTGTTCTAGGCTTCCTGTAGGCCTGGTGGGAGTCCACAGCAGCACTCTGCAGCAGGAGTCTATGAGAACATTTCCTTTTGTCAAACAGAGGTACTGCTCCCCCGAGGGAGTAAGTCATCAGGGGTTTACCCTCAGTGCTTTGTAAACACTTGGCGAGATGAGGTCATTGTTTGTTTCTCTTTTGAGATATAAATGAGCCCTCACTCGGCGGAGACTTGTGATCGTGTCCTTGAATTAATGTTCTGTCCTCGGACTTTGTGAATACTTTGTAGATTAGAAGGCTGCATGTCAATTGCTCTTCAAAAATATGAACATAAATTAATCTATACCGTGGCACTATTAGTCTTTACCTCAGTTTATGTCGGGGCAATGTTCAAATAGGTGATAAGATCTGATACATCAGCATTAAAATACATAAATCATTTTGTTGTCAAAGCTACAAAGTAAGCGTTTTGAAAACATCCCAGTAATAAATACTTCTGTACAATGTTCACAGCATGAGGGCAGTTGTCTGAGCTACAAGTTATGAGAAAGTCTGACATTCAAACTGCGTATTATCTCATATACACTTCTGCTTTGTGTGAGGCTGTCAGACAGAGGAACAAGAAGATCCAGAGTGAATTGTGCATCTTTTCTGCCCCCATCTCTAACCAAACTGCTGCTTCCCCCCATTGAGTGGCCCTGACGTTTTGCGGTGACCAGAGCGGACCATGCGAAGAAGAATGCTGGAAACTGGAGCACTACATTGTTCTGTACACTAGTTAATTGCAGTGACAAGCCATCACTAATCTAATGAGCTGCCGTTCCTGAGTTGCGTCGTGTCCCCTCTTCTTTCTGTGCCCTGAAAGAGTGGGGGTAATTGCGGACCTCAGTCGATGATGAATGATGAGTTTGTTTCACACAATAATAGCAGCGGGGGTTGGGACATGCTGAATAAGTGGGTCAGTATGCTAAAGGAAAGGGGATGCGTGGCTGACCCCCTGAAAGGAGCGGGGGGCCTGTTTTGTGTCTTAAATTGAAAGCTGCATTGTGTTTTCCATGAGGTGAAATCTGTGGAATTTCATCAAGAAAGTCTCGGTCACACTTTCTTGAGAAGATATGAATTTGCTTATTTTGAGCACTACTTATCTGAGTTCTTAATGTTCTGTAACGAAATACGTCTGAACATTTGGAAGTGGATTTGATCTTTTGTGTCAGCATGTGCTGGTATGCAAAACATTTGGAAAGATGAGGTGCGGCAAGTAGAGAGAGGGGTTTGTTTCCAGGAATGTTGGGGTCAAAGTGGAGAATGTGCACCCGGCACACCTCCTTTTTCACTCGGCTCCAGCTCTGTGACAGTGCACCCGCTCCGACCTGCGGGAGAGACTCAGATCTTTTCATTTACGCCTCTTCAGGGTGCTGCAGTTGCATCTCCATCTCTGCAGCACTCCAGATTCTCAGTGTTAGAGGCTTTAATAGGTCTCAGCCGTACTCTCCCTTCCTAACTGTAAAGACAGAGCCTTGCCCTTATCACACCATTTCCAGCTCTTGTTATGTTTCACCTACAGCCTTGAGCCACAGTGTGTAACACGGCCACATTGTTATCACGCTCTCATCTGTAACCTCAATCCCAAATGCTGTATTTTTTCATTTCCTAACTCCACAGTTTCCACACAGGACTCCGCAGTGATCTCCCACTCACCTAAATGCAGTTCATTTTCTGGCCTGTGTCATTCTCTTCCGTATCTCTGCCTGCCTCTCGAGTAATCTCTGCCAGTGTGTGAACTGAAGTCTCACTGTCTGATCATCAAACTTGCGTAGCCCAGGGAAGAGTTCTCCCTCAGGCTTGTTTTGAAAGTAAAGACTCCCGCTTGAGTCTGTGTGTTTGATGATAGCGCTATATTTCCCAGCGTAGCTTTAGGAGCTGATGGAGGAAGGAGACGCTGAGCAGTAAGCGAGGAAGGAAATGATGGAGAGACTTTCTGGATCTTGACAGAGACAGCGAGGAATTAACGGTTTATCCTTGTTGAAATATTAGGTCTTCTAGGTCTTCAAATAGCTTTAATGATAACTTTATAGACTGATGACATTAAACACTCGCAGAACAGGCCCTAAATGCCCAGCAGTTCAGCCAGAAAGGGGTTCAGTTCAGAAAATGTCCATATGAAACCAGGTAGTGGTGTTTGTTGTTCCTTTACTTCGCTGCCTGTGAGCACAGATGTGGTGGGAGCCTAATCTGCCAGAACAACTTGCAGGAGTCAAGTTAAATATACTATCTGCTATTGAGATGACCAAGAACATTTGAGACAAGTGGTTAAAATTCAGTACACGAGTCTGGGCTTCATTTTAAATGAGTAAATTGTTGGATGAGAGCTCCATGTTTGAGTTGTTATTCGTTGTGTGGGTTGTCGATTTTGTGCGTTCCTTCTCTCTCGTTCTCAGGTTTATTCAAAACAGGAACAGGAATTTTCTTCCCTCTTTGTCTTTCTGCTGAGACTTTGATTTGAGTTTTGGCACTGTGAAGCATGGACGTTAAGGTCTGAGTCATATTCTTAATTCTGAGAAACTCTTTAGTTACAGTGGTAACAATGTGGTACATCTGGTACAGTAACATATTTTCTGCCTTCACCTTGCATGATCCGGTTTTACATCAAAGGAATTAATTTAACATCTTTCGCCTTCTATTTCATGTGAAATTCATCATTTCCCCTGCAGCTATCTCTGGTAAACTGTGTGTAACACTGTTTACTGTTTTATGAATACCTGTTTATGTGAAGTAAATGGTATTGCAACACTTTTCTTAAAAAGTTTCACAAAAGTAAGGGAAGATAAGATGATCTTAAAGTTCTTAATATCCAGAAAGAGATGAGATCACAGACCCCAGTTTGATCAAATCTGGTCCCAGGAAACACAAAAATTGCATCTAGATATAATACTGCACTGACTGCAGGAAGTGTCCTTACAGTCTTGGGTGTACTGGTCCACAGGGAGTGAAAATTAAACTAGTCTATGTTTTCCTGGGCTGTCCTGAGACCATGGAGAACCTCTGCTCCAAATGACTTCAGATAGTGTGTTCACTTTCTTTATTCTGTTGTCTTAGTTGTTTTATTGTTGTAAGCTAGGTGCACTGTGATGAAGGCGCATCAAAACATTGTCATACCTCATTTATGTTTATATGACTATTGTATTTGTGGCTGTAGTTGTCAGCAACTTATGTTAACAGCCAAATCCCCAAAAAGTCAAATTGACAGATTGGAGACATCAATGTCACTTAAAGCGTCTGCATGGTCACAATCTCTCAAATTTCAGTAATTCTCTGTTATATCCAGAGACCCCTGCTAGGTTGCAGTTTGGCTTTGCACAGAGATTCTTTTAAAAGCAGGTTTCTGTTTTCAGTTCTCCAAGGACAAGACAAGATTTGATTACCGTCTCCCTTTGACCA